GCCCGGCCCCCCCAGCCTCCTGCCTCTGACACAGAGGCAGCAGCCCGGGGGGCCAGGGGGCTCCCTGGGAGTGAGGCCGGAGCGCACTGGCTGCCAGCCCGCCCCCGGGAACTATAGAATAGTCGACTAACCGCTAAGAATTAATGTGGTTACGCGACTATTCAATTACCCTGCTATCTAACATCCCTACTGCCTTGTTCTGCTTGTTTACCCTTTTCTGGGGCAAGTGCACTAAGCTAGAGCAACTATAGTTTCTCCAGGAAGCCACAAGCTTGATGAACCCATAGTTCCAGTTTTTGTTCATCTTTGGTCCTTTAATGCATGTAATGAGTACAGAGCCCATAGACAAATATAAAAGACATGCACCAGAATGCTGTATGCTCTCTTTGCCAAATGCTTTTGTAATGCAGATCTGGATGCCATGTTGAACATCTTATGAAGTTGGTGTTGCAGAGTGCATACTAACACTAAAGATAACATTTTCTACACAAAGGTAGTGTTTGAAAATAGCATTCTCCCACAATTACACTTTTCAGTTGCTTCAAACATCTCCCTTCGGACAAGGACAGTTTTTCTGATTTCAGTTTGCACATTTTTCCCCTCTACTTGTGTTAAGACAATCCTTTTGGCCATCTAATCAGTTTCAGTGGAAAAATTGTATTGTACATTAACTTCATTACAAAACAGACCACTGGCCCATGGCGTATTTCAAACAGAAGCCAATAGACAGGTGCATCCAGTTCGATGCCTGTTTAATTTATACATATTACACCAGGGGTGGGCAAAAGGGCCTCCACGGGGTGGATCGGGCCCACGGAGGCCTTGCCGCTCCCCTGCCCCCTGGCCAATCAGGGCCTGGGGGAGCATGCAAAGTCTCCTCACACCACCAGGGACATGGGCACCTAGAGGGAACTGCCAGCTGTTCAGAGACTTTGCACACTCCCCCACCCCCAGACCAATCAGGGTCTGTGGGTGGGGAAGCACAGAAGTGTCCTGGCCCCACCCCTTCAAGCAGCCCAGGGCCACTTCAAAAATTTCTGAAGTGGCCCCCAGTCAAAAATTATTGCCCATCCCTGTATTACACACACAGTATTAAGTAAAGCAGGCTAAGGTAAAGTAGGCAAACTGGATGCACCTGTCAATTGGCTTCTGTTAGACCACTGACCCATTCTCCCAATACACTTTAAGGGTTTAAAAAAAAAATGCGCAAATCTTGTAAGACTTAATAGCTATGTTGCACACAAACAGGGGATAGCCAAAGGGAAGTTATGGTGAATAATGGAACAAACATACTATAATGATTTGCACAGATTTTTAGCGTTTTATCTCTCCTCATGAGAAGGCGAATTGTTCCCTTCTCCTTGTGCTTCAGGAGTTTCACATCTCCGGTTCCTCGTTCTTTCCACTCTGGAAGATCATTTTCTGATGCAAATCGAAACAGCTTTGCTCGCCTTGAGAAAGAGAGAGCAAGAAATTAAGAGTCTGCACCAAGAACAAGCCACACTCAAATAAAAGGGCCCTCAGCCCATTCATCCTTAGGTGAATGTTAAAAGCTCCATGGAATGTTAGGAGACAGGAAATAAGTCCAGAGTCCTCACCAACTAGTAAGAATACAAGAGGATATATTTTGTAGGGAGAAAAAAAGCCCCACAACAAATGGTCTGGTAGCACTTTATAGACTAACAAAACACGTAGATGGTATCATGGTATATTTTGTAGGCAAACTAAACACCATGCTATCAGTAGAAAACTAGTTCAGGACAGAATACTGTATGAATTGAGTCATTAAAGAACTTTGCGTCCCCACAAAAATTTTGCTGAATAAACTTCTAGGTATAATTACAGAACAACTCTATATTAGCACTGAATTTATTCCACCACAAAGTGAATTTTTTTTAAGCATAGGGCTAGGGACGTAAGCAAGTAGTTGAGTCCACTACTCGCATTCCCCCCCTCCCGCCGCTGCCTCTGTATCAGGCCATGGGAGGCTGCCGCAAAGGGTTGCTCTTACTACATTTAAAATACAGAGAGGCAGCAGGGGGTAGCTCCTGGACCTGGCACAATCCGGGACGGAGTGTCTTCCCTTATTGACTAATTGTGTAGTCCATACAATTTGTATCAACTACACAATTAGCCAATTACCTGCCTCTTAACATCCTTACATAGGGCATGCAAATTTCAGTTACAGAAGAGATGGCTGTGTATATTTGGAATGCAACTAGTCAAATTCCCACCAATGATTGAACAAAAACACGAATGAAGCCAGCTGCATAGACCTACTGTCATAGTTGAAGTGGGGGAGGAGCTGCTCCCCTTTTAACCAAACTGCAGTGCAGCTGAATTCCATGCTGTGTATATTTGGAATGCAATTAGTCAAATTCCCACCAATGATTGAACAAAAACACGAATGAAGCCAGCTGCATAGACCTACTGTCATAGTTGAAGTGGGGGAGGAGCTGCTCCCCTTTTAACCAAACTGCAGTGCAGCTGAATTCCAGCCACAGCTTCCAAACCTCAGCTCCCTGCACTGGGAATCCCTAGATCTCCCACCCCGCCCCTTTCTTGAAGCCCCGCCCTCTCTATTCTCCTCCTGTCCATCACTTGCTATCCCCAGCCCTTACTTACACACTCTAATAAACAGTTTATTTTTAAATTATGCGATGTATAAAATTAAAATCACGTGTTTATAGTTATGAAATAAATGGTCTGTTTTTTATTCATGCTATTTAAATCTAAAATGAAGCATTTCTAATTATACATTTTGTGGGGACAGAGTTCTGCGGCTGAGGGCAGGGGAGAGGGAACAGAGTGCTGGGAGGGCAGAGGACAGGGTTCTGCAGCAGGGGACAGGATGCCAGTGGGGACAGAGTTCGGGGAGTGGGGATGGGAATGAGGACAGAGTTCTGTAGCTGGGGACAAGGGAGTGGGGTATGGGGAGTGGGGACAGCGTTCTGTGGCTGGGGAGTGGGGTTCCAGTGGAGGCAGAGAGTCCCCTGCATCTCCCTCCCCCCAGCATTCTGTGCCCCCCCCGGAAACCAGCGCGTGCCTGCCCCGGGGCCGACCCCGCCCCCATGCAGGGAAGCCCCATGCGCACATGCGCCTGCCCACG